GCTACAGCACAGGAGAGTGCAAGCACACGAGTTACGCCATCAGCTCTGGGTGGTCTGGGTGTCCACTACTTATTTTTTCTGCCCAGAGCTCTGCCTTGTCCTCTAAGGCTCCCTTGGGTGCAAGTTGTGGAAAAGTAAAAACGACCTGCAAGGCCCCAGTGCTGTGGACTGACAGAGGTCACACAGGCAAACAGTAAAGATCCTGTGTGAGTAGTTTTATGTTTTGTTTTGGGTTTTCTCATCTCTGCAGACAGATGTCTGATATCAGGCAGCATTCAGGCCACATAATGGTCCGATAGAGAAAGAAAACACCTAAACACTACAACTGACTATCACATAATGCTTTGTCCTTTTAAGACCAGCATTTTACAGAAAGCAGGTTTGTACAGTTAAACAGGGAACTGCTGCAGAAGTGACTCTAAGTTTCACATTTGCTATTTGCAAGTGAACTTGTACATAAGGCTTGTCAGTGGTTATGCACAAAAGCCAGAGGCATTGCACATTATGTAAAATTCCTCTCTCTGATTCCCATTTTCTAAAGCCTTTCTCTGCTTTTATTGCCAGAAACTAAAAAGGCAGATAATTTAGATTCCAAAGTGGCAGCATGTAAAACTCTGTAGGTATAAAGCTTAAATGAGAATTTTTTGTTTCACACAGTTAGTCTGCCTGCTGAGGCAAAACGTCAGCCTGACAATTTAGAAGCTAGGATTTATGATTTATTTTTTAGCTATAGCAAATTGAACTTTTGTTTTCTGATATATTTAAAGAACTAATCTGAATTCCATTTAAAACCCAAAGTAGTTTCACCCCTTCTGTTGAGCATAAAAACTTCCTGCTGGCTGCATCTGCTTTCACGGGCCATTGTACAAGTTCGAGGAAGAGAAAGCTGACACCATGTGTGTTGTTGTTGATATCAAGTGGTCAATCATTTGTTTTCTCTGAATTTAATCATGTCCTGCCACTGCACATATTCACTGGCTTAATTTGCAGCTCTGCTGTATTGTACAGGGAACCCTTTTCTACAGTGGAATATTGTGACCAGGCCAGTCTTTATTATCCAAATATTTAATCATGATGCATCCATTAGGGTTTTAATGCTGTTCATAAGCTGAACACACACACACACACACACACATTGCACAGAGCTCATGCTGTCTGACCTG